CGGGGGTTGTTGGGGTGTCCTGGGGTGTATTGGGGGTACTGGGCATGTGGATGCGTGCTGAGGTGTACAGGGGGTTGTTGGGGTGTTCTGGGGGTCCTGGGGTGTGTAGCTGTGTGCTGGTGTGTGCAGAGGTGTACAGGGGGGTGTTGGGGTGTTCTGGGGTGTCCTGGGAGTACCGGGGTGTGTGCTGGTGTACGGGGTGGGGGTGTTGGGTGTCCTGGGGGTACTAGGGTGTGTAGGTGTATGCAGAGGTGTACGGGGATGTGTTGGTGGGTACTGCAGGAGGGGCAGGGCTACAGTGGGATGTGCTGGTGCATTCAGGAGGGAGTGCAGGTGTGTGCTGGTGTTTCCTGCAATGTATGGAGGTGTACAGGGGCATTCTGGTGTGTACAGGTGTGTCAGGGTGTACAGCGCAGTTTTGTACAGGTGTGTGTATGGGTGTACACAGGCCCTGGTTACCCCCTTTAGCCCCACTGTGTGTGTGTCCCATGGCAGCCCTGTCCCCAGAAAGCCTGGGGACAGGAGCCCTCCGCTCACCGACATTCCCCTTCCAACCCCAACAGGGAGACTGAGATGAAGCCGCCGTGCGCAGGAACATCCACTTCAGCAGATGGAATTAAATATGAAAATAGAGCTAATCCTTCGCTACCTGAGCAGTAGCAGGGCCCGGTGGGTTATAAATAGAGAGCTGGGGCTAGGTACAAAATGTGCAATCACGCCGGAACAGGCTGAGGTGCAAACCCTGAGCAAATTGCACCGTGTGGCGTGGGAGAAGCAGAGCTTCCCGCTGGGAGCAGCAGGAACAGGTCAGCTCGCTTCCTAAGAGAGGTATTTGGGAGCAGGACACATTTAACTCCAATTCTACCACGGGAGAAATGTGTCCTGGCGGGGACTGAGCCGGGTGATGTGGGCGCAGCCTCCAAAAACGAGGCCAACTCGTCCTGGCCCGGGTTGGTCCGGGCAAGGTCCCCAGGGCTAATGTGCTAACGTGCGCTAATGACACAGGCATGCAACAAATAAGTATGTGGTGCTCCCTCTCCCTTCCCGCAGTCCTTCCAGCCTCTCCGAACGGGCGCGGACAAAAGACTTCCAAGAAAAAAAACAAGGTCGGGATTTTGGCTTTTGCAGCTGCGAGGTTACAGGAAAAGTACTGGGCGCTTCTGGAAAACGCGGTTCGTGGGAGAGCTCACTTTCCAGCACCTGCAAATGGATTTAATGAAAGCCATGGGATTGGTTTAATGAAACAGCAGCTCGCGCCAGCCCCCAAAGCCGTCACAACAGCTAAGCGCTCTGCAGCCCTCCGCCGCGCTCCCGCGGGCCCATTTCCTTGATTAATTTAGGAGCGCAGCACGGCCGCATCCCGCCTCCCGCAGGCGCTCCGTGCCGCCGGCCGCTCCTCGCGTGCCTCATTCGGATGCCGGGATCCGCG